TAAGTGCTATGCAATATTGAGTTTCAACTTAATTAACAAGCTCATTTGCATATTTAATTATTTAGAATTTTTCTTAATATCTTGTGAACTAATTGTCCGAATGAGACCAAACTTGGTATAGACTTCCTTGATCTGTCAATATAAGATGTGTGCTATGCTATATTGTTCTTTCAACTTAATTAATGAGCTTAATTTGAATATTTAATTAATTTTGAATTTTTATTAATATCTTGTGAATTATTAATTCAAATAAGACCATACTTGGTATAGACTTACTTGATATGTCGATATAGGGTATGTGCCTTGTAATATTGATTTTCAACTTAATCTTCCTACCCGATTTTATACATATACATCCAAACTTTATAATTTATAGCCAACTATAATCACATCTGACAAGTGTGTGTGTGTGGGGGGGGGGGGGCTGTGTCATCTTCAGATGACTTGTTTTATTATCTGTGATCATAAAATCTACTTACTGTAAAATAATTTTGATGGAATTTATTTTTGCTGAAAGGATGATTCAGTGAAAAAATCCAGTGAATACATTTTTTTTCCATAGTTCACTCATCAAAAATAAGTGAAAAAAATTCAACACAAAACACGCTCTTTCAGTGAAAATTTATTGCAGCTAAAATAAAGTACATGTGTACTGTTCTTAGGATAACAGCAGTATGCGGTGACTATTACATAGGCACATGTAGTAGGCAGTTTGATAGTCTCTCAGGAATCGTCAGTTGGTACTCAAGTCTATCCACAATCTTGAAAGATGAAATGCTGCTTTATCCTTTGCCCCCACCTGAGTAAGTTTTATTTCCTCAACTTATATATGTTCTTTGCTTTAATGTGACCACACCTACTGTAATACTTTGAGTTTAATATAATATATTTCTTGTTAAAGTACATTCAAAATGGTTCATAAACTTGTTTTATCAAATTTTGTTGTTGTTAGCCTGTTGATGACAAACGAAGGATTGCTGCCATATTGCCATATACTGCT